ATTTATTACGTACAGGTAAAAATCCCTATGATGAATGTGATCATATTTATATAAAAATATAACAATATACTTAATTAATTGAAGAAAAGATGGGAAGAATTTGTCTTTAAGTCACAAATAAAATTTTTTGTGCATGTGGTCTTCATTTCCTACCCATAATTATGCAGTTCTTCCTTACTGACAGGGAGCACCCATGTAATGTCTGTATATAACCTTAAAATCATCTTCAGGCCATGTCATAAGGGTATATTAAAAACATTCAAAAGGGTAAAAATTCTACGTGCGCATCAGCAACTTTTAATATTTTAATAGTGGTAACTACTTTCGATTGCTTTAAAGAGTCATATAGTTAAATACTGGCATGTCCCAGGATTCTAAAATAATAACATTCATTTTACTGGCTATGGAAATTGTCTGGACTGCTGAGAACCAAGAGAAAAACATTTCAACGGATTTGGCTATCAGCAAATCTGTTTCATTTTCCTGTTCTGGCCTCCCTACCTATCATCTACATTCCCCTGCCCCTGCTGGCAGGTTGCTCCTTTCTTTTACCACAGGAAAACTGTCCGGCCTCTTTTTCTAGCATTTTCAGGACCCGCCTGACAGGAAATTTTCTAGTTGCCGGAACAGCTTGTAGGAGAAAACTTTGAAAGGGCTTGGCCTTCCCTTTCTGATTTAAGTTTTATCATCAGAAATTACTTTATCACCAACATGGTTTCATAGCCATGTTTAAATTTTTGTCTTTTCGTGTTCGTTCTATACGGGTAAGCTTTCTTCAACTTCTTTTAAAGAATAAAATGTTTTAGTTGGAACTACCTGTAATTATGCTAAATAGTTATTCCATTTTATATGTTAAACTTTTCAAACTTGAAAACTAGTTTTGATAGAACTTTTAAAGGACAGTATTTTTATTTATTAAAAGTAAGCTACTTAGGAATATTATACATTTCAGCTTTGTATATTTTGTCAACTTATTTTTACATTGGCTCTTTTATGCTGGAGTAATTTTTATCTTGCTAGTGTTTGTAATTTGTATAGTAAAGCAAAGGACTTTGACAGTATTAAAGCAGGAATTAAGGGAATTGAAACTTATTAATTTTAGGGGATTATTATTATATAAGCAATATTTTGGCAGGTAGGAGAGTGTGTTAAATTAAGTAGCCAAGAATTTAAAAGCAGATTTCTACTGCAATTGTTTCTGTAAAAACTTGAAAGTTTTAAAGCAGCTCGATATATCTTTAACCTTAAGCAAGTAATTTTATCTTAGAGTAGGCACAATTTTCAAACAATTACTTTGTTAAAAGTAGGTTTAGTGAATGATAATTTGCATTATATTTAATCTAAAATCTTGCCAAAATCTACTTGATATTTTGCCATGAAAGTTGTGTTGTCCTGCTACCCTTTAAAGAGAATTAAGTTTGCCAATTGGGATTCCCACTTTGGAGAAAACTGCTTTTCAATGTAGTGATTGAGAATGTTAATCTGGAGAACCAGCAATGCTATTTTCTCAAACATATAAGACTCTTAAAGAATTTAATTAAATGAAAAATACTAAGCACATTTATCATTCCATTAACAAATTAAGTAAATTGAATTTAATCAAATTGTAATGCCAAGTAATTTTTATGTATCTTGACAATCTGAAAAAAAAAGTTAACATCTTTTTTGAATAAAAACTGTATTATAGAACTATAGGTATCTATACACAGTGATACTTTAACTGCTTTAGTTTAAAGTTACCTTTAAAAGGAGTAAAGTATGCACTTTTCATTTGTAAGGTCTTGTTTATGTTACACCCAAAAAAGTTTTACACATCCATGATTAGAAAATATTTTTATTGACTTTTACCAAGAAACATTAAAAATTTTTACTTCAAGCTTTAATACTATTTTCTGATCTTCAAAACAATTTAGAAAATACAAATGCCTCCAGAACACACTTCCTGATGCAAGGGAGGGGAGGAAAAAGGAAATTACATATACAAGGGAGGGCATAATGCCAAGTGTTGAATCATTCTTTAAAATCAGTTAATATCATCCAGTTTGTTTTCTTAATGTTAGTATGTTACAATATTAGGTTTTTAAAAATAACACAAACACACAACATTAATTTAAGTTCCTTTTCTTTAATCGTTTTATATTTTAGGGTCAAGATTATATGTATATTTTTTAGAGACAGGGTCTCACTATGTAACTCAGGCTGGCCTTGAACTCATTATGTATCCCTAGCTAGCCTCAAGCTCATGGCAATCTTCCTGCCTCAGCCTCCCAAGTGCTGGGATTACAAGTGTATACCATCATGCTAAGCCAAAATTATATTTTTTCTTGAAATATTAGGTTTATTTTCCCCCAATGGGTGAAAACCTTAAAGACTGTTTAAGAATGTTAGTCCTAGATGTGTAGTATCCTTAAGATATGAGTGACAAATACCTGAAAGAGATTGAAATATAAAAGAATGATACAGGATTAAGATAATAGTTTCATGACCAGTCTCAAAATTTTGCCTACAATCAGATCTTTGCTTATCAAATAAACATACAGTTTGTAAAAATAATAATATAGAATTTGTAACTATGTTTTAAACATACAAAGTAATGCTGGGCTTGTTGGCACTTTTCTGTAATCCCAACACTTGGGAAACTGAGGCAATGCGGATTGTTTTAGGCCAGCCTGGGTTGCATAGTGAGTGCAAGACTGGACTGTGTAGTGAGATCTTGTCTCCAGAAACAGAATGTACAGAGTAAGTTTTGTGTGTGTATGTGTGTGTGTGTGTGGTAACACAATGACATATGCATGTATCATTTAAAATTATAAGTGCCAAAAAAAATAAAATTATAAGTACCCTACTTTATTGACAAAATTCTTTTTTGGTAAAATTGTAGCTCCTTCACTATGTACTTATAGGCAAAAATAATTTTACAAACTGTCAAAACCTATTGTGTGTTTTTGTGTGACACTTATGTCAGTAACAGGCAATTTAGTGAAATAAGATGTTGGTCACATGCACATATTAATATGTTTTTGGCTTATCATTGCCTTCAGAAATTTGATAGTTCTCTTTGCATACATCTTATTGGATTCTAGGTATGAGCTAGAACACATTGTTGCTTTCCTACCTGTTCCCTATGATTGTCCAACCATCATTGTTAAGTCCTAGTTGAACTATAGATCATTTCTAAAATACTCTTCACCCCACAATATGTACCAAACCAATATTAGGATATTGTTTTATGGTTGGCAAACTTCCAAGGAAGTCCAAAATGATTAAGCCACCTTTAAACTATAGCTTCTGTCTTAGAAATTAAAATGGAAGTTCTAGTTCTTCTTTCTTCTGGGAGCTTCTTCTTTCTTTTACTACTCATTTTTAGAAGCTAAACAGCAAATCCTAATATCACTTTTTGAGATATCTTTGTAATTCTTTATATTGCCAACATTCTAAAGGTATCTAAGAAAATGCAAATTGAGCTCAAACACTTGTATGGAATACTACAGTAATAAAAATAGTGAATTATTTATGTTTGTATAACACATTTAGATTCTTCTAATAGTACTCATGTACCTAGAAAAATAGCATTATAAAGGCTGGGTGTTGTGGTGAACGCCTGTAATCCCAGCACTTGGGAGGCTGAGGCAGGAGAATCACTGCAAGCTTGAAACCAGCCTGGGCTACGTAGTGAGTTCCAGGTCATTCTCAACTACATAGTGAGACCCTGTCTCAAAAAACAAACAACAAAAAAAAAGAAAAATAGCATTATAGTCAACAAAAATAGAAATAGTACAGTAGACCCTTGAGTTATGATCGACCTGATGTGTGAACAACTTGGGTTACAGCTGGAATACACTAGGAAGATTATTGGTGTTTCTGGTAAATTATGCACATTATACAACCCTTTTTTATTATGAAAAGTTTAGTTAAGGGTTCCTTGGGGAGGTTTGGAATGCAGTATGGGTATTTCCATTATTTCTTATGGGAAAAATAATCTTGACTTAACAACCAACTTGGATACAACCAGCCCTCACAAACAAATTGAGTTCATAAGTCAAGGGTTCACTGTAGTCTTTATTTGACAGGCTTATATTTCCGGTTTTCTTAGATTTTCTTCTTATGTTGTTTTTTACTGTAACATACAGTATGTGTCTTGATTAAATAAAGTATACTTTATCTGCTGATATCAATAGAAATAATTGAAATTAGGATATTTTCTCCTCTTCTAATACCTTCCATCAGATATACTAAAGTGTCTACTGTCTTTAATCCTTTCTTACCCGAAGACTTTTTACTCTTTCATTATGCAGAATAGTCATTTTTTCATGTCTAATTCTCCATCCAAATGTTAAATCTTTTTATTTTGTGTTTTAGAATTATTCCTTTCTCCTCTCTCAGATCCCAAATTATTATTTAAGCAATTAAAAATTTCAGTGTGCTTTTTTTTTTGTGTGTGTGCCAGGGATCGAACTCGGGTCCTTGTGCTTGCAAGGCAGGCAGCAGAGCCACTGAGCTGAACCCCAGCCCATCAGTGTGCTTTCTTAAACAGCTTTATTAAGGGTATCTCTCTCCATATTTGCCTAGGAATATTTTTCAGCCTCTCTCCCCAATAAACAGGGTTTTCATATATAACATTTGTTTTGCCACATACAGACACAATTGGTACATTATTATATCTGTTATTTTCAGACTTCTTCACACCCTCTACCCTCCCTCTGAAACTATTCTAATTCTCTCCAGTACAGAGAATGAAAACTTGGAAATACTTAGGCTGATATCATGTAGAAGTTAAATCAGACTGTATAATGGCCTTGTATAATTCTGTTGTATAACCTAAGAGTATATTTTCTGGACATGTGTTTTCCATCATTTGGTAGGTCAGTAGAGGGTAGTTTTTGTATATTAATTTGAGGATTTCTGATGTTATGCTATCATTAAGATGTACTTGATTTCTATCAGGGAAAAGTAATTCTCATTAACTCAGTATTTTCTCCCCCTTACATTTACGTCAACAGGAAGAAGGCAGCATCAAAGAAATTGCAATCACACATCATGTAAAAGAAGGACATGAAAAAGCAGATCCTTCCCAGTTTGAACTTTTAAAAGTATTAGGGCAAGGATCATTTGGAAAGGTAAGTCATGAGTATGCTCTTTTTTTTTTCCTTTCAAGAAGTAGAAAGTAGAATAGTGGTCACTAGAAGCTAGGAAGAGTAGGGAGAACAGGATAGAGTGAAATTAAACAGGTACCAAAATACATTAAGTTACATAGTAAGAATATGGTCCAATGTCCTACAGCACAGTAGAGTTATTATAAATCACAACAATTTTATTATATACTTTTTTAAAACCTAGCAGGAGCCGGGCGTGGTGGTGCACGCCTGTATTCCCAGCACTCAGGAGGCTGAGGCAGGAGGATCACTGAGTTTGAGACCAGCCTGGGCTGCATAGTGAGTTCCGGGTCAGTCTCAACTACATACTGAGATCCTGTCTCAAAATAACCTAGCAGGATGTGGTGATATATGCCCTCCCTCCCAGCTATTTGGGAGGCTAAGGCAGGAGGATCGTGAGTTCAAGGCTAGCATGGGCAACTTAGTGAGATCCTATCCATAAATAAAAATTTTTAAAGATTTAGATTATAACTCGTTGATAGAGCACTTTCCTAGCATGTTTGAGGCCCTGGGTTGGATATTGTGATGGCCAGGCCTGCAATTCCAGCAATTCTGGAAGCTGAGTCAAGAGGACTGAGCAATTTAACAAGACCCTGACTCAAAATAAAAAAGAAAAAGGACTGGGGAATGTAACCTAGTGCAAAAGTGCTTGCCTAGCTGGATTTAATTCCTGGTACTACAGAAGGAAAAAAAATAAATACATATAAAAAACTAGAAGAGAGAAATTTGAAGCTTCCCAACATAATTATAAATGTTTAGGGAGAGAGAAATGCTAATTACTCTTATTTGATCATTATATATTTTGTGTGTGTGTGTGTGTATGTGTGTGTATAATTATAACACCTTGGCCCATAAATATGTATAATTATTATGTATCAAATGTATATGCATATATTTATGCACCTTACAGAAAGTAAGGTAGTGTAGGTTAAGTCACAAGGAACTGAATGAAAATTTAAATTAAAATTGGGAAAGGAAATAAGGAAAGTTGATTTTTGGAATTCATGTGTATTTCGTATACATGGGAAAATGGAAATATTTTATGAAATATCCTTAGTCTCCTACCATCAGTGGTTTCCATGTTTTTACTTTTCTCGTTTTCAGTAAGTATGGAACATGAATAGACATTCAAAAGTACATTGTAAACTTCGGAAAATTTGCAGTATTTACTTCATGATCATTTTATCTTCAGGACAACATGACCTATCTAGTTGTGCTTCTGGAATTATTAAAAATCACAGGATAGGGCCAGAGATTTAGCTCAGTGATGCCAGTGCCTACCTCACAAGCACAAGGTCCCAAGTTCAATCCGCAGTATTCCCCTTAAAAAAAAAAATCACAAAACATTCTTTGATATTCTAACCTCTTTTTGAGTTCTTTTATGACGTTAGAAGGTGATGTGTTTAAAAATGAGTGCAAAATTTTCATTCTAGTCAAAATCTGTTTTGTTTTGTGCTACTTGGCTGTACCACTGAGCTACATGCCCTACCCTTTTTATTTTTTTATTTTAAATCAAGGTCTCAATAAGAGGCCCAAGTTGGCCTCAAACTTGTGATCCTTCCGACTCAACCTCCAGAGTGTCTGGAGTTAATAAATGTGTACCACGGTACCCAGCTATTTTTTTAATATTAAAAAATGTTTACCAAAACTACCAAATAATTGCTCCAGAAGATAGGACATCTTTATCAATTTTCTCCAAATGGTCCTCGCCCCCCTGCTGCACACCTCAGGGGTTCAGTCTTTCCCTCCATTTTAAGGAATGCAGCTAGTACAATTACTACTACCAGATCTATCTAAACCAATTCTCAGCAAGAGGAAACTTCTGAGATTGATTGTATTCAATTCTTACATGCAATAATACCTTACCTCTTGTCTATAAGGAAACATTTGAAGATGTCATCCTTTGCAAGCTTCAAAACAGTACCAGTTTGGCACTCTTGTCGTTTTTAGTGGGACTATTTAGTAATTCTTGGCTAATAGGTAGTTTCTTACAGTTGTTAATGTCTTTCAAACTCATAGTATGCTTTTAATCCAAATATATACCAAGTAGCCAGCAAAGTATAATGATTGCAATTTAGACTCTAGGTTAGCCAGCCTTGAATTTAATTTTTTTCTTCTACTTACTGAATATTCTTGAGCAAGTTATTTAACCTTTTGGGGCCCCATTTTCTTCTTGCCAGTCATTAAATATTGAAGTCCTTCTCTCTCTCTCTCTCTCTCTCTCTCTCTCTCTCTCTCTCTCTCTCTCTCTCCTTCTCTCCTTCTCTCCTTCTCTCCTTCTCTCCTTCTCTCTCTCCTTTCTTTCTTTCTTTCTTCAGTGCTGGGGATAAAACCCAGAGCCATATACCTCCTAGGCGAGTACTTGCTCTACCACTGAATTACTTCCCTGGCCCTTTGTTATTTTTCCTATTTTGGTTTTTTTTTTCCTCATTGTATTTTTCCTATTTGTATATCTCAAAGGCACTTTAACTTCAACATGTCTAAGGCCAAACTCACGATGTTCTCCCATCCCCAAACCTATCCTATTTCATTTTTCTTTTGTTACTATGAGTGGCATCCAGTTAAGCAAGCCAGAAACTTCGGAGGCATTCCTGACATGTCTTTTAAGTCTCCCTCCAAGACACACACACACACACAGGCACACATGTACACATGTACACATGTACACATACATGTATTCATGCACACCTCTCCACCCTGGCCAATCTGATCTGTCACAAAATTCTGTTGATTTATTAGATTTCTACAATCATGGCAGTCTTCTCCTTCATTGCCACTTTCCAGCACATGCTACCTTTCTGGTATATTTTCCTAGTGTATTAAGAGAATCTCCTTAACTGAGCCTTCCAAAATTATTCTTTCCTCAATCCATTATTGACATGACAGCTAGCATGAGCTAATCATATACTCTACCCCTTTAATCTTTCTGTAGCCTCCCTTTGGCTTTATGATAGGGACAAATTCTTGAGATGGCTGAAAAGCCCCTCAGTCTCACCCTTATGTACTTCTAAAATATCATTTTATATACTTTATACTCTCAGTGTTCTGGCCACATCGGTCACCTGGTTTTGGTCCTTAAGCATTCCAGGCTACATCACACCAACAAGTCTTTCCTCCTCCTATTCTCTGCCTAATACACCTTGCCCCATCTCCAGCCCTTTCTCAACTGATTAGTTCTTCTTGTGCAATTGTTTATTGACACACACCCCGTAGACTATATATTTCATGAGTGCAGTGGCCATGCCTCAGCACTGAACTGGTAGCATAGTGCCTAGCATATAATTCTGGAAAGAATCAATAAATACTAGTTGTGACCTTATACATAGTAGTGAGAAGTAAATGATGGAGGCCAAATACACAATACTGTCTTGTATTTAATTATATTAACATGCTGTTTGATAAAGCCAAATAGATGTGTTTATTTTTATACATTAGATTTTGGGGAACTCAATATTTAATTTCATAGGAATTAGCATGCTTCTCCCTTTATTACTTTAAAAGTAATCTAAATACCTGTTAAACACCTGTTGTGTATAAATAGCAGACATTAAAAATAGGTTGACTCCTTTATTACCCATCCTAAAAAGCCAGTTTAAGCCAAAGTAATAGGGATGACCTGTCAGGTCCTAGAATAGCTTCATGGGAGAGTATCAGAAATGCAGTCGTGGAGGAAGGTCAGGCGGCAGCTGGAACTGCTGCTGCTTCTCCTGAGCGTGGTCGGTCATGGCCAAAGGGAACAGATACAGAGTGCCCTGAGCAGAAGCCCAGGACTAGGTGACTGACCCAGATCTTGTCCCATTACCTCCATCCACTATGGCACTGGGCAAATTCTTAAACTTTTCTAAGCTGTAATTTGGGCATCTATACAATAAGCCTTATTTAGTAAGCCTGCTTCCCAAAGTTGTCATCATGATCTATTACAGCTGCTCGCAGGGCCAGGGATTTAGCTCAGTGGTTCCACTGCCTGCCTTGCAAGCGCAAGGTCCCAAGTTCGATCCCTAGTATCAAAAACAAACAAAAAAGCGAGCAAGCAGATTCTTGCAAAAGTACTATGAGTTAAAGAGTACTGGAACGTGCTTTCAAAGGCTGTTGAAGAAAGTTTGGAATCCACAAGAACTTTTCTTGTAGACTGAAACATTGAATCTTGATTGGAGAATCTTAAGGATGAATACATATCAGATAAATCCTAATTAATCTCTACCTAATTAAAATTTATTTCTGTTCAAAAATATCAATCTCTGTTGGGGACTTAGCTCAGTGGTTCCACTGTCTGCCTTGCAAGTGCAAGGTCCCAAGTTCGATCCCTGGGACAAAAAAAAAAATTGGGGCCGGGGATTTAGCTCAGTGGTTCTGCTGACTGCTTTGCAAGTGCAAGGTCCCGAGTTCGATCTCTGGCACCTCAAAAAAATATATATCAATCTCTAAAAAATTAATATCAATCTCTTAATGACCTTTAACATTGAACAGCAGTCCACCTCAGTTAAGAATGCTTTTCTTTGCCTAGATTGGCTACCCATAACTGACTGAAAAGAGCTGAAGAATAGGGCTTGGTGATGGGGGAAGGAATTGATTATAGGCGAGCAGCATATTCCTACTTCAGGGTTTCTATGTGAGTTGTGGTGCTCTGCAGTTGATCCCATTTCCCATTGCCTTGGTGCTGTTTCTCAAATCAAGATAGTCTCTCTTGCACTAGAATTTGTTTAATCATTTGGTTATTGTGTGCTAATAGCCTGGTATGCTAAATCAAATAATTGAGAGTTGACCCTGAGGTTACTACTTGATGGTAGTAGCTTTTCCACACCTTTGGCAGCTGAAGAGCACTGCTACAAAAGAATGGGTAGAGGGCTGGGCATGGTTTGTACCTGTAATCCCAGCACTCTGGGAGGCTGAGGCAAGAGGATTAACAACTTCAAGTCCATCCTGGGCACTTTAACAACAAAGAAAGATCCTATCAGAGAGGGAGGGTCAGAGCTGGGAATGTAGCTCAGTGAAGAGGTGCTGGGTTCAATCACCAGTACTGGAAGGGAGGAGGAGGGGGAAGGGAGAGAGACAGAGAGAGAGACAGAGAACAAACAAATTCTGTGTGGGGCTGGGGATATAACTCATTGGAAGAGTACTTGCCTAGCATGCGTGAGGCCCTTGTTTGAGCCCCAGCACCAGGGGAAAAAACGATTGGGCACAGAAGAATTTTTGGTAGGTCACAGTGATGGCAAACCTTTTAGAGACACATGCCCAAACTGCAATCCAAAATCCACTTATTTATCACATGGTTCTAACACTGAGATTAAACCTGAATGCTGAGGTTTTAGTTTAGGAAAAAAAAAAAACTCATACCTTAGCATCCTTTGTCCTAAAAGAAAAGCAATACACATGCCATAGGTGCATCACTACTGAATCCTGTGATGCTCTACTTTCAACATACAGAGATTTTTCTCTAATTGCCACATACATAAAGACCTTTTTCTCTCTCAGTATACAAGAGAGATCAAAATTGAATGTTTAACCACTTAACAGTTTACCCCAGCATCACTTGGTTAGCACCTTTGTTTACATACTGACTATCTTAAGCATTGCTCAGGCAGGTGTCATTTCAACAAGTCAATTCTTGTCTTGAATAAATTTGATAAAATTGTCATTTTTATATTTCTTGTTATATTATACAAATGAATATGCAATTTTTGGTCATCAGTTTTGCTGGTTAGTGGTTAAATTTTTAAAAAATGTATTGCAGTAAAAGTAACAGTACCATTAATCCCCTTCAAAATACTACCCTTTTCTTAGAACACACTTGCTGCATCATTCTTGACACTTTCTGAAGCAGTTCTGGAAGTACTCTTTCCTGAGTGTCTGCAAGATACGATCCAAATTGATAGTGAATATTACTGCCAAGTGCCATCCAACAGAAAGGAAGACTTTTAAAAACATTATGGTGTGTCTTCAACCACTTTATTCACTAGATACGGCACCATGGTACTTCTAGCTCTTGCCCAAAGTCAAAATGACCATGAAAGGTAAACATTTTAAGTTGATTCTGGATATCAAGGTAGCCATAACAGTGGAGCTAAAGGCACTCATGAAAGAGGACTTCCAGAACTGTTTCAGAAAGTGGTAAGAATGATGAAATCTGTTCAAAGAAAGGGCAAATGTTCTAAGGGCTTTAATGGCAATGTCTTTTACTGTAATATTTTTTTCTAAATTAAACATTAAGTGTATATTTATATCATATCTCTTATTACATGCTCTTTGAGTCCTGGCAAACAACCAAGTAAAAATTGTGTTCACTTACATAAACACCCCAAGTTAAAACCATTGTTTACAACCTCTATAATGTGTTAGGATTTGCATAATAATTTTATTATGAAAGGGATCTTACATTCACAAAGGTATATAGTGTGTAATATTTCATAACATTTATTTTCTCTTATTTTAAATATAGGTTTTCTTAGTTAAAAAAATCTCAGGCTCTGATGCTAGACAGCTTTATGCTATGAAGGTATTAAAGAAGGCCACGCTTAAAGGTAAGTGTTGCTATTTGTAATTTTCATGTGATCTAAACAAATCGAAGGCTTTCTGTAGAACTCTTGTGACTCTAAGGCCACTTGTTTACATTCTGAATTGGTTCTGTTACTACCTTTAAATTTAGACTGACTTAATAGTGAATTTTTCCTACTACACTAGGAATCATATGACTAGTGAGAACAGGAACTGCCATATTGTAAAAGAAGTATTATAAATTCATTTGGACATGTACATGTTGTGAACATGAAAACTGGATTTGATGTATCTTCAATCTAAACTTACTAATTTACTGGAAGCAAAATAGCTTTTGTTCGTTTTTTTGTGTGTGAGACAGGGTCTCACTATGTAGTTCAGATGACCTTGGACTCACTGTGTAGCCAAGCTTGGCCTCAAACTCATGGCAATCTTCCTCCCTCAGCCTCCCAAGTACTGTGATTACAGGCGTGCACCACCACGCCCAACTAAAATAGCTTTTATTCTAAATGACTTTATCATCTTGATTTCTAGTCTCCAAATAAGTTTTTATTCTGGGCCTATGATTTAGAAAAATCTAATGCAGGATCCAAGAAAGGAACAAGTTCTGTCAGATATTAAAATGTATTTAAAACATCAGTAATTCAGTGTGTTATTGGTGGAAATAATACAAACAGAAGTCAGTAGAACAAAATAGTACAAAATATATGTTAAAATTTATTACATTTGTTACAAATATTGAGTGCCTGCTGTCCTCTGTAACAAAGCAGGTGTGTAGAATGATGGGAAAGTAAATAATAATTTCCCGAATTGGGTTTGAAATACCCCTGAGCAACCTGTAAAACAATTAGAAGTCTTTCTTTAAATCATGCACTAACAAACTCTGACTTATTTATCTCTAAAAGATTAAAAACCCCTAAAAAAATAATACAACTCCATGATTATACCTAAAAAATTAACATACAGCTATCCAGTCAGAGTTCAAATTTCCAGTTGACCCTACTGTTATAATTCATTTTCCTTCATGCACTTTGTTCAAACCAAGATCCATACTTAGCAATTGATGTATCTCTTTAAATCTTTTCATTTCCACGTCTTGTTTTTTCCTGTAGTTTATTTGTTGAGAATTTGTGTTCTTGGGCCAGGGATTTAACTCAGTGGTTCCACCACCTGCCTTGCAAGTGCAAGGTCCTGAGTTTGATCCCTGATACAAAAAAAAATGTATTCCTTCCCCTACACCACCCTTTTTGAGGCTTCCTGTTCTTATTTCATGGGTGCTATATCATTTGTGATAGTCTTGTTGTTAACTACATTGTCTTTCTCTTTATACTTTTTTCTCCTGTTTTATTTTGCTGTATTTTATGTTTATAGCCTTTTCTCAAATATCTTGTGATCCTTTGCTATTTTTTCTCTCACTTAGGAGTGAGATACTGAAAAGCTAATTGAAAAGCATATTAGGCTTAAATTTTTGCTGTTAATTACCATTGACACATGTTCTGCTATTACTCCTCTTTTGTCCTTTGTTCTTTTGAATTTATGAATATAGTTGTCCCCCTTTATCTGTAGCTTTGCTTTCTGTAGTTTCAGTTATGTGCAGTCAATAATGATCTGACAATGTTAAAGGGAAAATTTCAGAAATAAACAATTGATAAATTTTAAGTTGTGTGCCATTATGAGTAGTGTGTTCTATCCCACCTAGGACATGAACCATCCTTTTCTCCAGCATATCCATGCTGTATATATGCATTACCCATGGCCCAATAGTCATTTAGTAGCCATCTTGATTGTTAGGTGGTTATTGCAGTGTTTGTGCTCTAGTAACCCTTATTTTAATTAATAATGGCTCCAAAGCACAGAAGTAACATTGCTGGCCATTTGGGCAAAGAGAAGCCATAAAGTGCTTCTTAAATGAAAAGTTGAAAGTTTAGTAAACATTTTGAGAAAAACAAAGATCACATCATATAACCTTTATTATAGTCTCTTATTATAGGTTTTCATTTTTCTGTTTTACTGTGATTACTATTGTTAATATCTTACTGTGTATAATTTATAAATTAAACTTTATGATAGGTATGTATGTATAGGGAAAACACGGTGTATATAGGGGTGAGTACTATTCAAACTTTCAGGCATCTACTAGGAGTCTTACCCTTTATACCTCACATACAAGAGGGTACTGCTATAATTTTTCCATTAATGTCATCTTGATGGGATTTTGGAAGAAGGTAGAGAGTAAAACATAGATATTTAATCAGAAGTTTCTTTCCATTTTAAAGTCCTTATTAATACAGTAAGTGGAGTCAAGTAGAAGTCAATAACATTAGGTCAAGTTAACGGGGAATTTTGTCCTATTAAAGTTGGTCTGTCAGACTAAAAGATTTTATAAACCAGCCTAAAACACTTTCTTAATACATAGTCCTAGAATCATAGGCAGCGTTTCTTATTTACTCTGTTGTTGAAGTCAAAGAGGGTTTAAAGAACTTAACTGTCAGAAGTAGCTAGCTGATTTGCCAGCTTGGGTAAATATTAACAACAGTATTTAAAACAGCATTTAGAAGTTGACTGATGTGAAACATGACTTCTTCTGAACTAGTATATACTAATAAAAATGCCTGATTGTAGGGTGATTTGTTTTTGTCACCAGGCCTTTACATAAGGACAAGAATCCACATTAGAATTATTACATCCTATCTCAGACAAAATGAAAAAGTTCTTCAGTGAGTGAATCTTACTGCTCATTTTCAACTAAACAAGGTCTCATCAGTTTTTTGGGGGGGATACTGGGGATCAAACTAAATACCCCGCCCTCATCAGTGTTTCTTATAAAGAAATGTGGGAAACTGCCTTACAAGATAATCAGAATCAAAAGAAAATCATCTTGTTGAATCCCCTCATTTTATAGAGGACAAACAAGTTCCTGGGCAATGAAATAATTTGGCCTTTGTAATACATCTAGTTAGTAACACAGCCACTAAACCATATAATTTTTGCTTTCATTGTGAAAGAATAAAAAATAATATATAGTGGATATATTGGTGGGTATTTTCACTGATTCCTCAGCTGAAGGGTTGTTTTTTAATGACACTTATTGAAAGAGGTAGAAGTTTTGAATACAGCTTTAAGGTAATGGGAACTAATCCAATATTTTAAGGGTAACAATGAAATAAGAGCAGATTTAAACTAGATTAGCAGGCCTTGGTGATTAACTTCATTCATATAAAAAATAGAGCATGTTAGATATGATAAGGTAAGTACCAGATTTATAGTTATAGGACAAAGTAATGAAACTTACAGATTGATATTGAATTTGATATACTAGCTGGAAAAGTCAGCTAAGACAGCTGTGCAAACCCCAAGAACATTGTGTACTCACTTCAGCAGCACATATACTAAAGTTGGAAAGAGCAATTGATTTGTATTCCTGACTTTCCCATTTTCAGTCATTTGGCACCAAAATCTCCCAGTTGGCAGTATAAATCTTGTAGATTTTTTTTACCTCTTTTGTTTTCCCCAGATATTTTATTTCTGTTTTAAATATCTGTGGTTACCCTAAATTCCAAATAAAACCAACTCAACTTTCTCCGTGTCCTCACTTCCCCCCAAAAAACTCCCATTTTTCTATCCTAATCATTCACACAATCATTGAGAATGTTTTTATCAGAATGTGTGCTACACATTTATTTACATGTCTGTCATTGCACATTATGAACCTTATGAGTCTACCACATTATGAGCCTTATGATGATTAAAATCTTATTTGTATTTATATTCCTAATGCCTAGCACATCAACTTTGCTCAGGAAATGTTTGATTATTTGAAAAGAGCTTTGCCCACAAGATCAAACATAAATTCAACCTAGTGTTCTAACCAAGAATCTAGATCCTCCCTATTTCATCTCCCCTATAGTAAACTTCTGATTTGATCCCATCCTTTTCTTCGTTAATGCCTTCATTTCTTTATTTATGTTGACATTCCATACCTGTTTTTTTCTTGGGCCTATCTTTCTAACCCTAAATTCCACTGGAAAAATTTTAAAGCTTATGCCCTAACTCTGACTCTTCTCTAGCCTTCCTATATAGGTAAAATAATCTTGCCCTTCTCTAATATTTTTATCCCTTAATCATATTCATAGTAGTAGTTTTGGATATAATAATGGTAGCTATCCGTTACCTGAATCTCTCTTACATACCAGGCTCTGGGTATAAACCTTATTTCAAATGGCCACATACTCCTGAAGGTACAGTGGTATAATCCCATTTTATATTTGAGAAGTAATTAAGATTCAGGAAATTTAAATAAGTAATTTACTCAGTTACATGTTTTGAATCTAGATCTTCAATGTCAAAAAAAATGTTCTTTAATTTCCTTTCCTCCTTCTTCCCTCAAAATAGACCTTTGCAGACATATCCATCTCTCATTATATGTGCTACGTTTTATAGATACTTATTGAATACATACTGAATTGTATTGATAGTGTTAACAGAAGTGGTGAAAGCTATTCCAGTTTGTTGTTATATTTTAATATTTCACTAGGGTACCTTGAGTTTTAAAAGTTACATGCTTTTTTGCTATTTTCCACAACTTTGGTTAAAATGCTTGTAAATTTGACATTAAAGCCAACACTTAATATGTTCTCTGAGTTTTTACCTTTTTACAAAGATGCATAATTTCTTTTGGTTGTGTAATATAGTAAAAGATATTTATATTTTGTAAATTCAAGAGCGATAAAATGTTCACATTTTTATACACATAAACAAAATTATATTTAAAATAAATACTAAAATGTAGATGGGGAGGGGAGAAGGGGGTGA